CTTGTGGTCACACATGCTGGTGTGCTTCTTCCATGTGGCCTTTGTTTCTTCTGAGCTAGTTGGCCACTTGTTTATCTTCCAGCCTTTAAGACCCCAGATGCTATATCTTTTGATAGCCAGGCACCATCAGCTTGCTTCACGAGACTTAACATCTTTATGGGAGCAGACAGCCTTAGCTTTCTTCCTTGAAGCAACTGGCGGGTTCACACTCCTGACCCTGCAGTTAGTAGCTTAATGCATGCTAAGACCCAACTCACTGTCCTCAAGTCAATTCTGACTCATGGTGACTCTAGAGAGGCAGGGCCGAACCACAACTGTGGGTTTCTGAGACTGTAACTCTTTACAGGAGTAGAAGGCTTCCTTCTTCTCCGGCAGAGTAGCTGGTAGTTTCAAACCGCTGACCTTGGGGTTAGCAGCCCAACACGTAACCACTATGCCACCAGGGCTTCTGCTCAATTAATAGCCCACCGCTCAATCCAAAGGGAAATTTTGCTGTGAAGCAGATTATCTGTATTGGCTTAAAGAGTTTCCCCATAGACATATAAGCATGTAACTAAACAGAACAAGGAGATACTACATGGTTTAAAATACATCAGGCTGTATCTTTCGCCACACTTATGCAAGCCGTTTTCTTAGGACATACTCAGAGAAGCTGGACTATGGGACATGGCATGAGGATTGGAGGAAAGTGTATTAAGAACCTGCAATATGCAGATGACACAACCGGAAGCATTGCGGATGACCCAGGAGTGCAGCCTTCAGTCTGGACTACAACACAGTGTAAGAACACTCGGGCCCTCACAACTGGACACAGCACGAAGAAAACACCGAAGTTGTCAAGGAGTTCATTTTATGCGGATCCACAATCAACACTCTCAGGAGCAACAGACAAGAAAGCAAATGATGTATTACTCTGGGAAAATCTGCTGCCAATAACTTCTTTGGAGTGTTAAAGAAAAAGACGTCACTCTGCTTGCAGAAGGGTCTCGGGGAAGAGACAAGCCAGTCAGGGTGCAGGGTAGCAACGATGAAATATATAATTTCCCTCTAGTTCTTAACTGCTTCCTTCCCCCACCCCCACTATCATGATCCCAATTCTACCTTACATATCCGGCTGGACCAGAGAATGTACACTGGTGCCGATAGGAACTGGAAATACAGGGAATCCAGGACAGATGAACCCCTCAGGACCAGTGGTGAGAGTGGCGATATCAGGAGGGTGGAGGGACGGTGAGGGAGAAAGGGGGAACAGATGACAAGGTCAACATATAATCTCCTCCCTGGGGAACGGACAGCAGAGAAGTGGGTGAGGAAGACGTCGGATGGTGTATGATATGATAAAATAATAATAATTTATAAATTATCAAGGGCCCAGGGGGAAGGGGGGAGCGGGGAGAGAGGGGAAAAATGAGGAGCTGATACCAAGGGCTCAAGGAGAAAGCAGGTGTTTTGAGAATGATGATGGCAACATATGTACGAATGTGCTGGACACAATTGATGTATGTAAGGATTGTGATAAGAGTTGTATGAGCCCCAATAAAATGATTTTAAAAAAAAAGAAAGAAGAAGATGTCACTTTGAGGACTAAGGTGCGCCTGGCCCAAGTCATGGTCTTACATTTGCCTCAAAAACACGTGAAAGCTGGACCATGAGTAAGGGTCACTGAAAGAGAACGGATATATTTGAATTGTGGAGTTGGCAAAGCATACTGAAAGCACCATGGACTGCAAGAGGAACAAGCAAGTCTTTCCAGGAAGAGGTGCAGTCAGAATGTCCCTTAGAAAGGTGGCAAAACCCAGTCTCACATACTGAGGACCTGCTACTAGGTGAGACTAGTTCCTGGAAAAGAACAGCAGACTTGGCCACAGGGAGAGTCAGCATACAAGGAGGACCATCAACAAGATGGGTTGGCACCGAGGCTGCGAAGACGGTTTTAAACATAACAACAACTGGACGGATGGGCAGGACCGGGCAGTGGTCCACTCTGCTGTGCCTCAACAACCTCCTCAGGGGCAGATGGACAGCAGGCACCTCCGGATGGGATGCTCCGAGGAGGACACATGCTTCCAGGACAGGTTCCAGCCCATGTGCTAGGATGCATGATCTCATTCCACACCTATGAAAACACCAGACAAATTCAAAGCGAAGAACGTTCTATTTTAAAAGAATCAAAGATGTATTCTTGAAAAATATCAATGCCATAAAAGATGAAGAAAGGCTTTAGAACATTCCAGATTAAAAGAGGCTG